TAACAAAATAACCAAAAAAGAAAGGTATCCCTTGCCTGTCATACAAGACTTGTTGGACAGACTCGTGGACAAAACTGTATTCTGTACTCTTGATCTGGCTAATGGATACCACCAGATTAGAATTGAAGAATCATCCAGACCTTTTACTGCCTTCGTCACACCCGAAGGACACTACCAATATAAGATGATGAGTTTCGGACTTTGTAACGCACCAGCAGTATTTCAAAGAGCAATGACTGAAATACTTGCCCTGTGATACATGAGTGTGCTGAGGTATATATTGATGATGTGATTGTGTGGGGCAAGGATGTTGAAGACTGTTTGAGCAACCTCAGAAAAGTTTTAGGGCTGATAGATGCTGCAGGTGTTAAACTTAAACGTAGTAAATGCTCATTCCTCACAAACAGTGTTGAATACTTAGGTCACGAAATATCAGGTGGTGAGATAAGACCTTCACCTCACAAAATCATCGCGGTTTCCAATTTTAAGACACCTACGAATGTCCACGAGTTGCGGCAGTTTCTCGGACTCGCCAGTTACTTCCGAAAATTTATCAGGAACTTCGCGAGTATTGCACGATCACTTACTCTACTCACGAAAAGTCCGTGGAGTGGCGCTGGGAACCTGAACAAGATCAAGCCGTAAGCTACCTGAAGGATATTCTAACCTCCGACCCAGTGCTGGCAATTTATCACCCGGACAGAGAAACCCAAGTTCACACCGACGCATCGAAAGCTGGGCTCGGTGGTGTACTCCTTCAACGGCAGCCGAATGGTGAGATGAAAGTAGTCGCTTACGCTAGCCGACAGACATCAGAAACAGAGCAAAGGTACCACAGTTTCGAATTGGAAGTTCTTGCTGTGGTGTTTGCTGTCAATCGTTTCCGAGTATATCTTTCTGGTGTTAAGTTTCGAGTCGTGACTGATTGCTCTGCCTTACGGATGGCTTGGTTGAAAGAGACTTGTCACCACGGATTGCCCGTTGGTGGCTTGATCTACAAGAGTACAATTTTGAGGTTGACCATCGACCAGGGACTTCTATGGCGCATGTAGATGCCTTGAGTAGAAATCCTGTGATAGTAAACCACATACAAGAAAAGGATTTAATTGATGCGCTACAGGATGATGACAAAGAAATTCAAGCATTGATGTTGAATCTGAAGCTAGAACAAGAGGCCAACAAGAAAAAGAAGAACGGACTAACGAAAGACTATAAAGTCGTAGACGGCCGGTTATATCGTGTGATAGAGAATGGGTTGAGACCAGTTCTCCGAGTGCGAGATTCCATATAATGAAGATATATCACGATGAGCATGGGCATCTGGAAACTGAAAAATGTCTAGAGGAAATACGAGCTAAATATTGGTTTCGAAGATGAGAAAATACGTGACAAAATATGTGGCAAGTTGTCTTGGATGCCAATTTACGAAGAAACCAACTGGGAAACAACCGGGTCTGCTTCATCCTATTCCAAAGGTGTCTGTGCCATTTCACACCTTACATGTGGATCACCTGGGCCCCTTTGCAAGAGCAATGGGAAGACTTATATATTTGCGGTAATCGACGGATTCACAAAGTTCGTGTGGTTAGAAGCCGTCGCTGCAGCAAATGCCAGAGGAGCAGTTACCGCACTAAGTAGACTAAGTCAAACATTTGGGTATCCCGAAAGAATCGTCAGTGACCGAGGCACAGCATTCACGTGTAAGGAGTTCAAACAATTCTGTGACAATAACGCCATTAAACATATCTTAAACGCCGTGGCATCACCCCGCGCGAATGGGCAAGTCGAGCGCCTGAACAGAACGATTTTAAATTCGCTTTCAGCCCACATGGGCGATGATCAGAAAGGATGGGATGCATACTTGCCTAAGGTTCAATTGGGCTTAAATTCGACCTTAAGTCAAGGGACAGGCAAGTCACCATTAGAGTTGCTGTGTGGCTTAAGACCCCGTTTACCGAATGATTTACAAGGGCAGTCTACAGTAGAGACGTATCGACCTCCCGAGTCGAAGCTGCTCATACAATTGAATCGAACGCAGTTCAAATGAAAACGCGTTATGACAAAGATCGGCGTGTTGTAGAACCTCTACTTATGGGTCAGTTGGTCATGGTAGAACGGAAAATATTACGTCCTGGCCTAACAAGTGGAAAACTAGTCCAACGATACGCAGGGCCATATAAAGTTACTGCTGTGCTACCTAACGACCGCTATGAGGTCACGTCATACACGAAAGGCAAACAAGCTTACAAAACATATTTGCCCGTGACAAGATTAAGGTTTGGCATGACAGACCACGAGACTCGTCATCTGATGAAGATCTGATAGAGCGGAATTAAGTCTATCAACTATCGACCGCGCAAATTCTTACCCCGAAAAAAAAAAAAAAAAAAAAAAAAACGCTTGCCTACGGGGCCTACACAGCGTTCAGTTTCTGTAATCAAACGCTTGCCTACGGGGCCTACACAGCGTTATGTTTCTGTGATCAAACGCTTGCCTACGGGGCCTACACAGCGTTATGTTTCTGTGATCAAACGCTTGCCTACGGGGCCTACACAGCGTTATGTTTCTGTGATCAAACGCTTGCCTACGGGGCCTACACAGCGTTATGTTTCTGTGATCAAACGCTTGCCTACTGGGCCTACACAGCGTTATGTTTCTGTGATCAAACGCTTGCCTACGGGGCCTACACAGCGTTATGTTTCTGTGATCAAACGCTTGCCTACGGGGCCTACACAGCGTTATGTTTCTGTGATCAAACGCTTGCCTACGGGGCCTACACAGCGTTATGTTTCTGTAATCAAACGCTTGCCTACGGGGCCTACACAGCGTTATGTTTCTGTAATCCAACGCTTGCCTACGGGCCTACACAGCGTTGTGTTTTGTTATCAAACGCTTGCCTACGGGGCCTACACAGCGTTGGAAACATCATGCCTAATATGGTGAAGATCTGCTGGAAGAGGCTGCCACGGTCTGCCATCGGATCTTCGCGTTACTGCCTACGTCGGACGACGTGCGAGTGTGCTGCACAATCAAGATCAACCAGATGCGACTTCAACTGTCCTTCGAGGCCGAAGGACGACTGCAGGATGGCCGAACTGTTAGACTGAAAATCGACAAGCTATGATCAGCACTAATCTCGACAACTGAGTGGGTCCCAGCCCTGGGGCTCTCTCTCTTGGACGCTATCGGTCGACGCGCTCGGACCATTGTTTACGTTATGAGCGATCCAAAATTATTAATTAAAGGTATTTATTCCGAAGAACTCTTGTGTTTAATTTAGAGCCAATAGTACTTACTCTAGTAGTTATTGGTATTTGGTTGTGATCGCAACTTGCAATGCGCTCGCAATGGTTTAATTCCTTTTTAATCCTAAGGTGAATATAAACTTAGATATTTCAGAAAGTACCAGTGTGATGGAAGTGGGATTCTACTCGCCCATAGGTATTGCATACAAAGTTTCGCTTCATTCTTTGACCATTGGTAATCTTGAATTGAAATTTCGTATCTACGTTTAACGATGTGGTTATGCATGATCAGTTACGGCTAAGAATTTTATGAAACAGGCTATTTTTTCGAAGGGAAAATGTATTATTCCATTGGAAACCTCATCAACAAGTTATCAACAAAATAACACGATCGTCTATGTAAGGTCAAGACGAAAAAGACAAAATAAAAGCAGCCGATAGCTTTTTAAGGCTGTCGTTAAGAATAAGATTGGTCGTTAAAATATCGTAACTTGGTCGTAAATCCGAAATTCTTAGTGGCAATCAAAATTCTAGAGCACTTCAATAATGACTTCATTGAGTTTCTATTGAGCGTATAATAAAATCTCTTGAGTGTGTTTCTAAAATATTGGTCTAACCAAGCTACACTTATTATTCTTTGGTATAACCTATATTTTGAAGAGTGATGATGATGATCTGATTTTGAAGAGTATGGTCAATGCGGTCAAAGTCAAAGGCTTCAAAATTCGAATATCTTCAACCCATTTCTTTTGCGCACAAAAGCCACAAATGAATTAGTAAGTAGTAAGTACAATTTTATACGATAGGCTCACCTCAAGGCTAAAGTGATAGCAATTTTCTAGTCTGCTTTTTTTCCTAAATGGTCCTCAAATAAATCGAAACCACTGATTTGAAAGGCAATTTATACTCTGTCTTGCCTACTCTGGTACATAAGAGATACAGGCGTGATGTGTATGTGGAGTCCACAAATTATAAAAAGCTTTTTTTGCACTACGAAAATGATAAAAATCTTTAAAAGCAATACCAATATTATAGCTAATTCCTATTCTTTGCTCAAACAGAACGCTCGTGTTAGATATAATTTGCAAACAGTCAGAATTACAAAGCTGAAGCTAGCATACCTAGTTGCTACCGCAGCGTGCCTAATTGCTACCTCATCAGCTGGATACATAGTCAGATCAGAGCAAAGAAATTTGAAGAGCGAACCTAACACGGGAAGTGTTTTAAAAATTTGGTATTCAATTCATCGCGGGTTTTAATCGCTTTGTCTACATCCAATCTGTAAAGAATGGATTATGTCGCTGGGAATCAGTTGTAAAAAAGTACCGCTACTACACACAGTATTAGAACGATTCCTTTCTTTTCATGCCGCCAAAACAGTATTTTCAGACCTAATATTTACAGCTTGGATGCAAAAATAGCAGTTACTACACCAAAAAGAGCAGAACTTTTACATTTAAGACCGACAAAATTGGGTATGGTGTGTATTGGGTATTCATGCATACCTAATCAAGACGTTTGGTAAAAGAAAAGGCACAAAAAAATCGATTCCTGCTTATTTTGGAAATTTTGAAAATATAATCGAGTTTTAATTAATCGATTAATTCTACTCTTTAAATTAATCGATTTATAGATTTTTTTTTCAAAAAACCGTCGATTATTTAAAAAATCGTTTTTTTTACATCCCTGGTAGATGGAGCCCTACCACGCGTTAGTGGTTAAGATACACTTGCTTAATTCGCGGGCTTGGAGTGAGCCGCTGTCGCCCAGTTGGTAGAGGCGTCGCCAGTACAGATGGCCGAGGTCGCTGGTTCAAGTCTAGCCCGTGGTGCAAGTTTTCCTAAATCAACACATGTCTTTAAATTGATGCGTTCAAACGAAACTAAAGTAAGATATAATTTGCAAACAGCTAAAATTACAAAAAATAGATTTGAACGCATTGTACGAAGTTACATTAATTGATTACTTTCGCAATAAATTTAGCCTCTGGTCACCTTTCATGACCTATACTAACCTAAATAAAACTGCGTGAGACGAGTCTCTCACGATTTCATTATAGTTGTTGCTGGTTCTTTCTGAACAAATTCCTAAATCTGACCTGGATCCATAATAAGGAATGTACCTGCAATTTCACGCGGCTCGAATGACAATGGGAATAGTCATGATTAGGTGGATCACAAACGCAGCGCACAAAATAGCGGTTCCATACAATTATGCTGTTTTCATACTCTTGTTTTTTAAGACCCTTCCTTCACTTAAAAAGTTGGTCTGTCGAAAAAATCATCGGTAAGTTCATTCCCTCCCAACAATTTCCCAAGATTTCTAGTTAATAAATAGAACCGAACAAGGAGTAAATGTACATTTCTTAGCAAAATAGCGTAGGTAGATCTAAAGAACAAACTTGATAATATTTTATGCACACCCACGAAACTGAAGTGCTGTGAATAAATCTCCTCGTCTACCTTTTTTTACTTACCAATACATTTGAGATATTCATCTAATTAGGTACAATTTATTTCAAATTCTGATGTAGCGCTGATATAATGTAGGTAGGTGGTTAACCCATACAATAAGAGAACTGTATTTCACAGGATTTCCAGAAGTTTCCTTGGAAAACGTTAACATCCTCTGAAGTGTTGATTGCAGCGCAAATTGAGAAATCACTAGAGTCAACTGCTAGTGCGAGTTCAGGAAGCAATTGTGGACGGAGAGCTAGCCACGTGAAAAAGTATACGATTTACTGGTAGTCAATTCAAAATCACAGTGTTATGAAATGACAAGATCAGCCTCAGCGGGAAGCCAAGTTACGCTGTTCGCAATACTTAAATACTATGCGACCAGCGTAATTTTGCCTCTCGCTTAGGCTGCTCATGACACTATGATTTAGAATCAACCCTACTCATTAATTTTATCCTTATCTGCACAACAGTCTCTTGCTACTTTCAGCTGTTTAGATTATGTTGTTGAATAGCGTTTGATGCCGTCGGTCTAAAATCGCGTAAAAATCGTCTATTAGTGCGCCAAGAGGAGGCCTCTTTGTTTAGCAGTGAAAGGTTGTCACGGTTGATGTCGATCATAATGGCTTATCCATCACCATCGAGAAATGCTTATCAAATCAAATCATACATTCCAACATTTCCAACTCTTATCGTTGCGAGCTTTTCGGCTAGTAGGAAGCAATTGAAGCTCATGTGATCAGACACTATGCTTTGTTCAACTATTCTGTTTACTGACATGGTGTTCTGAAGTAAAGCCGTACAACAGTCATGATAAGATCTGACCTAGTAATTTATGTTCATTGTTTTATAGCTCTAATTATGCTGAGGCATGTCACAAATATAGAAGGCTAACTTGCTAGTGACAGTTGCTCATCAAAACGTACACCTGTTAACGTTGCGAGCTCTCCGGCTAGTAGAAAGTAATTGTAGCTCGTGTGATCAGACACTATGCTTTGTTCAACTATTTTGTTGACTGACATGGTGTTCTGAAGTAAAGCCGTACAACAGTCATGATTATATCTGACCTAGTAATTTCTGTTCATTGTTTTACAGGCCTAGTTATGCCAGAGGATGTCACAAATAACCGTGTAATATATAAAGAAGGCTCACTTGCTAGTGATAGTTGCTTATCAAAACGTACACGTGTAAACATTGCGAGCTCTCCGGCTAGTAGGAAGCAATTGTAGCTCGTGTGATCAGACACTATGCTTTGTTCAACTATTCTGTTGACTGACATTGTGTGCTAGGACAGCTATGGAACAGAATTACTATGATTACAGTAATTTCTGTTTATTGTTTAACTGTTAAACTTAGTTGTTGTTGTGATTTAACGGTGACAATAGCATTCACAAAGAGGGTTGACATCATGCAGGCGGCCGGTCATAGAGCCAAATCTTTTTGCTACATGATTTTGTACTCTAATAAAACAAGTTGCACCGATAGCGACTGAATTGGGATAAGGGCAGGCACAAGATGTTTAAATGTAAAATTTTAACAGGTTTATTCTACAGCCCTTGAGCAGGAGAGCTAATAAAGTTTGGGCATTTTATTTGCAACAAACTACCAAATATGTCGGAAGCAGATTGTTTTGATAAAGTCTGCCTGCACCGCCCACGAACGCAGATATGCATTGAGCGCAGAACACAACGCCTTCGTATGCGTGCGCGTCATCACGCGCCTACCGGTGGTAATATATGGAATTTTATGAGAGGCGGCCATCTTTGGGGGCGGCACACTGCCTGCGTATGCGTGCGCGTAATCATGCGCGTAACGCGGTGTGCCTTGTCTCGTAAGAACCCATACAATGCAACGTCTTAGCTATGCTCGTGATGACGTGCCCGTCACACATACGGAGGCGGTGTGTGGCGTCCTTAAATGAACTTCAAGTAGGAGTGCCTTATGTAGGTATATCAATTAAGTGTAATTCGAAGCTGTAACTGTTTTGACGAGAATTCTAGTCAGTCTTTAGAAAATCGATTGCATGCATTCTACCTAGTAACTATATATCTGGGGGCACGGCAGTGCCCCCACCAAGTCGAGCTGAAAGCTGCACGGCCGTACCATCCTTTTCTCGAACCAGTTCAGGCCATATTTGACCCCCCCATAACTTCCTTGTCGATAAGTTTAGAACGCTTATTTTAAAATATCTTATCAAGCACTGTATAGACACGATGCATTTCAAATTTCATTTCATTTGGACCAGTAGTTTAGAAGTTATAGTTAGTCAAAGTTTCTTAATTTTCTGCCTGACTGACTGACTGACCGATCATCAAAATTCTAAGGCACTTCTAGCAGACTGAGGAGCTTGAAACTTTGGATACACCTTGTATTTAGTGTATGAATAAAGGGAAAACTATAACATTCTGCAAATTCGGTTGCAACCGCATAACTAACTTTGTATTTCCATACAAATGTATAGGATTACAAAGTTAACTTTGCGGATGGGCTTTGAGGAAATCTGTAGCTGAGGCTCAAGAAGTAGTTCCAGATAAGAGAAAGAGGAAGACTATCTACAAAAAGAAATGAGATCCCACCAAAAACATTAACTTGTAAAAAGAACCAAGTCTCGCCTCTCAGTTCATCCACTGTAAAAAGTTGTGAGATCCATCTGATGCCAAGTCGGTTATTGATTTATTCAAGGACTACTTCAGGTACCTTTCATCTTAAGCTATTGCGTAATTAGGTAACAGACATCATCTTACAGTAACTATATCAATATTTAAAAACTTTTATATTTACAATAACTAGAATGACTTGGCAATCGCACACTATTTGCTTGTGAGATACGATGGTCTAGTGCGATGGCCGGGTCATTCTAGTTATTGTAAATATAAAAGTTTTTAAATATTGATATAGTTACTGTAAGATGATGTCTGTTACCTAATTACGCAATAGCTTAAGATGAAAGGTACCTGAAGTAGTCCTTGAATAAATCAATAACCGACTTGGCATCAGATGGATCTCACAACTTTTTACAGTGGATGAACTGAGAGGCGAGACTTGGTTCTTTTTACAAGTTAATGTTTTTGGTGGGATCCTATTTTGCTGGATTTTCGGCTAAATTTCATGCTTTAGTTAAATAGATTAAATAGACTAAATATTGTTTCACTCAACTGACTTTTTGGCCTTTCACTCAACTGACTCATTGGATGGACAATATACCTACGAAGAAATAGAACTTTAGATATGGTGACAGATTGTAAAAACAAACTCAAATTTTTTCTTTGAACTTAGCATAAACAAACTTAGTTGTCCTTTCTAACAACTGTTATTCCTAGTTATAGGTGTGATTCGCACAATTCTAGTCAGGCTTTGCCTCTCGCAGTTCCGATTGTCACTCGGTACAAAGCATGTTTGTCTCACGCGGGTCCAATTAGTCACTCCAGCAGTTTCTCAATTTGCGCTACAAATCTAGACTTCAAGGTACCACAGAATCAAGTACTGAAAGAGGTATGAAACATTGACTATTCGTCTACTTCAGCTGGAAGTATATGTATAGTTAATAATTTATCGTTTACCTACATTGTAAATGGTGAAAACCATAGAAAACGCATAAAAGTGTTCAATCCTTTTAACAAAACCGTATAAAACAATGTTACCTAACAGTTAAAAGCACTTTTCAATACGTATACCATTAAAATAACAGTATGGTCGGTTAAAAGTTAAATCAATGACCACAGCGCCTAGTAGACGGCACAATAAAGCCTTGTTCAAACTGTAGCGGAAATTAAATTGCTTGACAATTGGTACTTATCAGTTTTTGAATAACTTTTTAAATTTTCCTCTGCAGGCAGGATTTGAACCTACGACTTACGGCATCTGTACTGCCGACGCCACAACCTCGGGCTACTCAATGTACCTATCAGAATACCGCGTACCCACGTACTGCATCGGTTTCGCTCAGGTTGAACAGGGCACTGCACAACAGGCTTTGCATAAGAACGTCTGGACAACAAGTGATTTCTGGCCAAATTATTTTCCGGATGACGTAATGATGATAAGTCCGTGGCAATATATGAGACGACCGACCTTAAACTGGCTAATAGCATGCAAGCATTACCCACGCACCACAGCTAGCTTGCTAGTAAACTTGGATCTTTTGTATCTTTTCTGTGATTGGTCAAAAATGTGTTAATGTCAATGTTAATATACGTAAAACTATAAGGCATTATAACGGGTTTTAACTCACGGTAGGGATATACTTATCGAGCACGGTAGGGATATAATATGGGTGCTCGATATATCCCTACCGTGAGTTATAATTATCCTTTATCCTTTACAGCCACAACAGTCCACTGCTGGATATGGGCCTCCCCCGTATTGGGGGGTATTA